AAAAATAATAATTAAGTAACCGGAGCAATTAATCATGCATATCTCCAGAATTCTAAATGGAAAGAATGTTTGAACTTTGAAACGGGAAGTGTTTGTTGAAGGGGAAATAGAAGGGGGTTTTGTTCGGACCAGCGTGAAACTATAAAAGAGCAGCTGTAGAGAAAGGAAAAGTGGGGGACAGAAACACGTGAGGCTCGCTAAATCAATAATACTCATGATACATTTCACAAGTCAGCTTCTAGACTTTGCTGCCACATATTTATCAATCTCGATCATTAAATTAAATAATTGAGGACCACTTGAATATTACTCTGGAGAGTCTGAGTCCCATCGTCTCATTTATTAACTTCACATGCTACTCTTGCATTCGCTATCTCCCTGCAGAATTGGTTGGTGGCTTTACATCCACCGCAACCTTGGAATAAATGCCATGGTTGAGGATTTGAGATGCAAATTAAAGATGGTCATAAATGAGAATACCTACACAAACGTATTCTTAAATACAGATTGTGATCACTCAGTTCACTGTTCTCTCCGTTTCCGCAAATTTTAGAATTATATCAGATTCTCACTCTTTACATCGTTTTTTACTTCGAATTATATTTGTATATACAAATAAAAAAAAAAAAATTAGCGTTTTATGTTTTTTTGTTTTGGAAATAGTAAAAAAGCTTTGGCATTTTATTTAAAAATTTAAAATTTAAATAAAAAATTATTTTTTCTCTTTCTTTCTTTCTTTATATTTTCTCTTTTCTCTCTTTAAACCAAAAAAAAAAAAAGCATTTAAATGAAGATTTTTAACACTAAATTATAAATGGTAAGAAAACATTGACATGTTTAAGACAAGTTTTGGAAACGCACAAAGCAAGCGGTACTTTGAGGAATATTATCAGTTGCGTTACTTGCGTAAATGATAAATTTCATATTTTTTATTTAATCTTTATATTTTTAGACAATCATGTCAAACGTGTTTTTATTTTTCGTGTTTTCAAATATTATGTTTAGACAAACATGTTGAATATATTTTTATTTTTTGTATTTTTTAATATCTTTTATATTTTAAAAAATATAGAAAATGGATACAAAAAATTCATAAAAGAAGTGTTTTGTTGGGAGTGTTTATGATGCTTGGAGACTGTGTTGATAAAAATAACAAATGCTCCTTAGGTTTTAGAAATAATAGAAATTTTTATGCCATTAAATTAGATGTTAAAACAAATAGAAGGAGGGTATTTGGTAATATTTATTAGCTTATAACAATATGAATTTTAAAAATTCACTAATAGTTTACAAAAGACAAGGGAATTTTTGTTATTTCAAACAACTTAGGAGGATATTCTTATTATGTCATACCTGATATGGTTCTACTTTCTACTCTATTCAAAAATCATATACTAACATGAATTTTCAAAAAAATATAAATTGTTCCAATAACTTTTGAGATATCAATAATTAATTCCAACAAAGAAAGGAATAAATAATAAAGAAATGAAAATAAAAACCGAATTATGATTATGTACATGTGCATTAAAGCTTACTAACGAACTTTTTTTTTTAATTATAGCAATAGTTTGATGAAATTAAAAAAAAAAAAAAAAAAAAAGGAGTGTAATGTACAAATAAATAATTAAAAGCTAAGAATAAAAAATATTTTGAAAGTGGAATAAGACAGGCTTATTATCCCTCACCTCCCTTGAGGTTTGGGATTTGAACACTGATACCCCACATGTAGAAACTGTTGTTCCTCACCTCCTCTCACATTTCTTTAATCCTCTCAGACCTCCCCTCTCCTCCGTGAAATAATAGTACATAACAATTGACCAAGACTAATTTCGTAAGTAAAAGAAAAAAAAAAAAAAAAACACTAAGAAAGAAAAGAGACAGAATACAGTTTGAAGGCAAAGAAGCTAAATTTTGAAGACAAAGAATTAAAAATAGTATCTTTTGGTTCATCTCCTACAGTTGGGATACACCCATATATATCACCAAAAGCAAAACTCATATGCTTCACCATCACATAAACAATATGTGTTGAGATATGTGGCTCGTTTTCCTAATTTTTTCCTTGTAAATTTGTTATCTCTTTAAGAAGTTATTTTAAAGAGGAAGACAAATGTTATAAGGATGTGAATCCTATTAGGGATAGAATTTTGAGAGTCTTATTAAAATAGAGTAAGATTCCTATGAAGAACAGAATATCGCATGTATCACCTATAAATATAGGGTTAAGAACTAAGTAGTAAGTGAGTTTATGACTTAATTAAGAAGGTCTAAAGTAAATAAAACCTGGTGTGGTTGTCCTTTATATAGATGAAGGAGATTGACTTGGATTGAGTTTCCTCAATGATGTAGGAGTCCTTACATGGTACGGGATTAGCATGATAAAGCAGTGGGGTGAGGATTTCTCTTATTTAGGAGATAATCCACGAGATATATTTTATCATCATATTTCCCTTGATCATAATCGCTTAATATGATATGTCTCATTATAATATAACTATTATAATGTTAGGGAAATATATGTTTTGTTGAGCCTTCATGTGTTTTGATGTGCCAAAACAAATCAATGGGTTTATTGGTTTTTAACAAACATGCAAAGGTATAATAAGAGTCATAACTAAAACAAAAAAGGCAATTTTCCTAGTTGGTCTGACCGTGCAAGATGAAAGAACTACCGTTCCTAGTTTCATAGAGTTTCCTAGATGAAAGTTCCTCACAGCATGACCACGTTCCATATGATCATGCATTCTTTTGCCCAAAATGATGTGAAGTCGCTCACAGTGACACGACCAAGCTGCAGACTGTTCTGACCAAGTCAAAAGTCAAAGTACTCAAAATTCAAATGTTTTCGCGCCTTTGACAAATCTTGAAGAACAAGCCTTGAAGATCAAGTTAAAGTTCAAGTATTTCAAGCGGAACGATCATGTTGCATAACCATTCCCACTCAAAGATTGTTCTTGGCATAATGTCAACGTTTCAGGAAGTCGTGCATCCTTATGGATTTTTAAGGAGCCAATGGATTGACCATTCCTCATGGTGGAATAACCGTTTGCGGTGGTGGAACGACGGTATGGAATGATGAAATGATCATTCCATAAACCCTAGAGATGAGCAAAAGTATATGTTATCTTGGGAACGTCTGTTCGTGATGGTGGAACGCCCATTCTCTGGGTACTGCAGCTTTTCAGAGTTGCATTAAATGTAGCAATGACTCTTTACTTCAAAGGGGAGAGACAAGTAATAAATAAAACATTTCATTGCAAAGAAAGACAAAGAGAATATCAGTGAAACAAAAGTCTTAAAAAAACATTATCACATAATGCCTTGAGCTAAAAATTCAAATCCTTATCACTCTCTTGTACTGATATTGAAAACCTTTGAGAGCATTGCTCTTACTGTGTGTTTAAGCCTAGTTTTAAGAGGCAATTATTCACAAGCTTTCATTCAAACATCTTGTGGGTGAAATCTTGTAATTCTGAAGGCGAAATTCTATCAAACTATTGTAAGAGGTAAAATCCTATCAAACTAGTGTAAAAGGCGAAATCTGATTCTAGTAAAACTTCAAGGAGGTTGTCTTGAAGAAGTGGATGTACGAGACATATGGACATAGCTCCGAATAACTATAAACCTTTGAGCATTTCTTCTTTCTCAACTCATTTATTATTCCTTGCATATTACTTGAAAATCATTATCACTTGTTTATATTTATTGCTCTCTTATTTATTGTTCACCATTGTTTATCTTTGTTGATCATTCTCATTCTCATTCATTGCTTATCATTGTTGTTGTTTTAAGTCCCCCTCTAGGAATATTTGTCATATAGGGTTTTATCTATTAAATTAATATATGCTTGAAATATTCTCCGGGGTGAATAATGTGAATTAACCCTTGCTAGATATCGGCACTACAACTTATGTAAAAACATGAGACACACACTTCACAAGAAATATTATGATGATATATAAATAAATGGGCATGTTAATGTAGTATTAAATAGGGTATTAAGCAATTTCCCTAGTTATTACTATGATGACTTTTTTTTTTTTTTAACAAAATATATAATGACTATATAATCAAATAATATAAAATTATAGTCATTCAATAATATAAAATTAAGGGGTATTATATATTATCTAGAGGATAATTTTTTCAAAATTACACAATTAGAGGACACCATTTAAAGAAGCTGACGATTAGATGACACTTTTTAAGTAAAATTCACAATTGGAGGATGCTTAACAATAAAAACACAATTGACATTAACCTTGCTAAGGATTTTATTGTGTATAAAAATGTACCTTTCATTTCATTGACATTCATTGACAAAAACTTTTTTATTATATTTTTCATCTTAGTTTTGAATTTTTTTAAATATATATATATATTTTTAACTTACATAATTATACATATGTTATTTATTTATTTATTATTATTATTTAAAAAATGACATCATAATGATAATATGAATGAGTATTTAAGTAATTTTAGGAAATTAAGTTAAAGTTGACGGTGATTTACCGTTAACTGACATGTGGTTGCGAATTTTTTTGAAAAAAATGTCCTTTAACAATCAAGTTCTGAAAATGGTTATGGCATCCTCTAATTATACACATTTTTAAGAAGTGTCGTCGCTAAAATGAAATAAAATTACACTATTTATATAATTTGAATATTGGATATAGTTGAATGAAATAAAATTACTATTTATATAATTGGAATATTGGATATAGTTGAATGCTGTTTGATACTGACAAGTGATATCCCGCGTATGAATAGTGTATTGCACTTCAGCTTCATAACAGCGCGTGGTATTACTTTAATACTTTTACCAACGTTACTCTGATTCTGAACATGATTACAAGACGACGAGTTCAAGACCTTTGAAAATGAGATGAGATTAGATTCACAGTATCCAACACTGCACACTTGCACAGGATAGGCAAACTACTCCACGTATAAATTATATATGTGTCATTTGTAAAATTAATTACAAGACAAGCATGGCTCCTTCCTCCTCATCTTCTCCCTCTTCTTCCTCCAAATCCCCTCCCCCCCCTCTCCCTCACCACTCCCCACATTTCACCCCCGTAAGTTCTCCCTTTATTTCTCAAGAAACTAACATAATCCATGCATTTTATATAGAAGTCTTTTAACATTATTCCTAATTTCATGCTTATGAATTTGTTTCTTGACTGCAGATTCAAGAATGTGAAAGAGAAGAGCAACTTTCAAACCACAGCGATGGAGTGACGTATAAGCACCACCCAACACCTCTTCATCATCCAAGTGACAAAATCTACAAATCTAGCACCAAGAAACGGCACGAGTCTTGTGAAGAAGAAGATGGTTCTTCTGTTTCTTGCAACAAGTGCAGGCCACACTCTCGTGATCAGAAGATTTCTGTGGTTCCTTTAGATAACGGAAACACCAATGCTAGTACTGTAAACAAAAGCTCATCCTTCATTGCTAGCCCAAATGCTATCTTCAAATCAATTTTTCAATCTTTAGGAAGAAAGAGTCCGAAATCAAAGAACATGTCGATTGCCAGAGAGGAGCAATGGAAAATCGCTGTCGCAGAGCTTTCAAATAAGCTCATTCAAGCTACAAGAAAGAGAGATGAAGCATTGTCGGAAGCTTCCAGACTCAAGTACTCAATGGCTGAGCTAGAGAAGAAGCTTAACAAGCTTGAAGTTTATTGCCACAATTTGAAGTCTGGACTCGAAGAATGTAGCGGCAATTCGCCCTATAAATTTGAAAAGAGTTGCAACAGTACTATCCATAAAATTAAGAATCACGATTTCCTGGTTGGTAATGGTAAAGTTACAGAGCAATTCTTGCTTTTTGTATCTGAAGCTCGCTCGACAGTTCGGCTTTTTAGCAGATCGCTTACTATGCTACTTAGGCACATGGGAACAAAAACGTACGAGAGAATATCAGTGCTTCTTCAACCTTATGATATAAGGATTTCCTTCTCTAAGAACCCAAAGAGTCTGGTTTTTCATCTTGAAGCTTTGATGAATAAAGCCTTTTTTGAAGATTTTGAATCAACTGGGTTTCAAAAAAATGCTATAAATCAAATCCTGAACCCGATAGATCGGAGTGAAGCTAATTTTGCGTCGTTTCATGTTCTAAAAGAGTTGACATGGGAGGAGGTTTTGAGTAAGGGGACAAGGCATTTCAGTGAGGATTTCAGTAGGTTTTGTGACAGGAAAATGAGCGATATTGTGTCCATGTTGGGGTGGAATAGAGCTTGGCCTGAGTCATTATTGCAGGCTTTCTTTAATGCATCAAAAAGTGTGTGGTTAGTGCACCTTTTGGCCAACTCAGTTCACCCGGGGTTGCCAATCTTCAGGGTGGATAAAGGGGTGAGGTTCGATTCTGTTTACATGGAGGATATGGGTGGAGATAGGGCCTCGAAATTGGTTCCAAACTTGGTTCGGATCATGGTTGCACCTGGGTTCTATGTCTATGGCAACGTGGTCAAGTGCAAGGTACTATGCAGGTACAACAATAACAATAATAGTGTTAGTAATGATAAGGGTTTTACCTTATCTCCTTAGAGTTTGATTTATTCTAGAATTGTTAAGTTGAAAATTTTCCTTTGTTTAGACATACTTTTTGCTGCGAATGTTATTTGTTCATCAAGGTGGATAATGTGTAATGACTCCTCATTGGTGCTATGACTGGGGTTGCTGGGTTAGTGTTGGGGACTTTTGGGTCAAAGTAAAGAATTGGCATTTTATTGTTCTTGGTTGTCTTCTTTTGTGTTTCACAGTTTTGTCTATTTTGATAATTTATTATTTTCACTACTGGTCCACATACATTGCCGTTGGGCTAATTCTCTAAACTAGATAAGAGTTTTTTCTCTTAATGGGTCGAACCTAACATGTGGATAGAATTATCAAAACAAAAGACACAGAAGAGGACCCATGTAGTAGAAAGATTCTCTTCTAGACTTATTATCCTTTCATCTACATTTTCAAAATTGTATACCATCATTACTTTTAATATATGTCATGAAATTGTTTAATATTTATTAAAAAGTATTAAATACTCCCATAAAAGAGAATTAAAAATATTTTTATAGGAGATTTTGGATAATCTCAAGGTTATAAATGTATAAATCAAATAAACTGTTTTTTTTTTATTATTATTATTATTATTATTCCAACTTCCCAGCGAGGTATAACGAATATGGTAGTCCACAGAAGACCTAGTAAAACATGTACTATGCTTACCAGTCCACCCATGCCTGAGTAATTTAAGCTGGTACGGGTTGTTATGTTTAGAGTTATACTAATCTTACAAAGAGGTCCATAGAAGACCTAGTAAAACATGTACTATGCTTACCAGTCCACCCATGCCTGAGTAATTTAAGCTAGTACAGGTTGTTATGTTTAGAGTTATACTAATCTTACAAAGAGGTATACAAAAAGATAAATTCAGTCCTTAAAATTCATAATTGCCTCTCACTCTCTCTTTTTCCCTTCGGATTTGTCTCTTTATATTCTTTTTTGTATGTCTCTTTGTAAGGCTAATATTACTCGTTATGTTTAACCCCTATACCGATAGTATCCCCCCGTGGTACCTAGAAAAAAAGGTAAAAAACGCTGAGGGGTAGTGGTTTACTAGGTTAGGTTACTTACTCCTCTTCCTCTCCTCATTAGTTAGTCGGCAACTGCCATACCCATACTTCATCTCATTTCATTCGCACTTCAACGCCGTCGCCGTCCCCATCACCGGCGTCCTCACCGCCGATTATCCCTCCAGCCTCAACTCTTCAAGTCCGAATACTCCTCCTCTCAATTCTCAACTCAATCCAATTGCTTCCTATAATAACGGTGTGTATGAGTTTTTATTTTTTGGATTAGTCTTAGTTATGTTTTATGGGTTTTCTTTGTCACTTCCTTTTGAACTTGTGAGATCTGAAATCATAAGCACTGCTCTCAGTAATTAAAACCTGTGGGTTTTCTGGATTTTCTGAGTGCATTGGTTCAAGTTTATTTTAGATTTTTTTTTTTTTTTGGGGAGGGTGTGTGGGGTGGGTTGTGTGGGTGGGGTGGGGTGTTTTGTGGTTTGGATACTCTATTTGACTAGCTACTTAAAATTTTTAAATATTGATTTTAGGTTAAGTTTAGATATGAAATATGAGTTTATATGGAGGCAGCTTGTGGAATGATGAAGGTAAGGCCATGATAGCTGCTGTTCTGGGCATAAGCTTTTGATTACTTGATATCGAGCTCTATTCAAATGAGAATCTCTTATAGATGAGTGTAATCTTCCACAAGAAGAGTACATATACATCTCCATGTACTTTGAACTTAACAGATATAAACTCTTGCTATGCTTTTGCTAATTTTCCATTATTTTCTGCCATTTCTGACAACTTTGATGCATTCTCGTGTTCAACCTTTTCCAGTTTCCAGTTCACAGTTTTGCTTGTTCTTCAAGTTGTTCCTGTTGAACAATCATTAATTAAAACTTTGAAGCAATCGCACAGGGCATGGAAAACAGATAAAGCATTTTAAGTAGATTTGTAGATCATGTCCTGGTTTCATGTTTGCATCAAAGGGCATCACTTCAAGTTAAATGAACATATTACCTGAAATTCAAAAAATTGTGCATAAAAATTAGAAAGCAAAAACAAATTTGGGAAATGAATGACCCGCAGGTCCACCTATACCTACATGACCGGGTATGGGTACTATTCACCCTTACCCGTTTACATTTTCTTCCCGTTTGACCCATACTTGTCTTTAGCCGGCTCATACTTGCCTGCTTGCCAGGTCTAGTCCACAGTCCCAAGGTCTACCTTAAAACTACAACTCTTTCACCAAATTAGGTTGTATCATAATTTGCATAACTATAAGAAATTTAGGGATGAAGAAACAAAAATACTACGTTTACAACCTAATCTCACAACCTTCTCTTACAACCCTAACATGACAGCAGAGTTGACACTATCATGTCAACTGACGACTTTGACTGAATATGAACGATAGTTTCTTATGAATGAATGATCGTTCATTAATTAAGAATTGTTGTTCCATTCATAAGGAACAACTATTCCTTATGAAGGAATCATTGTTCCTTGATAAGGAACAACCATTTCTTGTGAAGGAATATTTGTTCTTTCATAAAGAATTGTTATTTCTTATGAAAGAATTGTTAGAGTAGGTGTCCTAGAGCCAATCATATTTGACTCTTTATAATATCGTATTTATCAAATAAAGACATTCTTTCTATATCATGTAAATTATATCCTTATATGATTTGATATATGCCTTTATAGTGGTAGAACCGTGATGAGGGAATCAAGTGTTTTAAATCTTGATTATGAGGACCCTATGATCGCATGTGGTGACTATTCTAAAAAGGTTCAAAAAGCCTTAATATTATTCTAAACAAGGGCATAGATAATATAGTAAGGTTATCATAGCGTTAAACGATCTTATTAAAAGGTAGTGATAGTTCTCACTTATCAATGTTGTTTGGTGACAACTTTATGTAATACATGAGTGTTTGTTGTTTACAAGTTCACTAGACTGATCCACCAGAGGATTCCATGTGGATGATAACCTTAGTATCTATGAAACAAATCCTCTCACGGATGGTAATGCATGTGATCCTTAGACTTGAGAATATCGAAGTGTCTTGTGTACTTATTGGTGTAGTTTGACATTAGTCTAACATAGTCTTATTTAGGGCTACTCGAACGGTAGTGATTACCTGCATTTAGAAATATAATGAGACTATGGTGGATCAATATAGAATTCATCACTCCTAGGTACAGGAGAGAGTTATCCCACTACACAGTTTGGTTAAGTGGATACGAAACATAAATCTATGGCCATAGTGGGATTGAGTCGTTGCTCAAGCCAATTTTAATTTGGTCGTTGATCCAATAACTAGATACTAATACATTAGGATAATATCTGAGATTGACACTATTTCTATGTCTTAGCCTGATTGGATAACTGATGATGGAATGATTTGATTGCACGATAACCATATCGTTGACAAGTAGCTATTTTGCAAAATCTTTATTTGTTGGGTAACTATGAGGCCTTGTTAGAGGTCTATCTTGGTTGGTGTACGAAGGGCTAATTAGTTGGTGTTAAATTACAATTTTGGTCATTGCCAACATAATAAAGAGTCTATCAGTCACACACATTAAAGGTAGTTTAAGGTGAATGATGAACATAATGGCAATTTTGTCTTTTAGATGAAATGAATATTTTGGTAATTTTGCTATGTGATTAAATTCGTTGAGATTGTTGACCGTATTCAGTATTTATATTGAAATTGAATTTTAGCAAAATTATAAGTGTATTAATATTAATTTAAAACATTGATATTAATATGAAATATATTTAATTAAATATATTATAAAATACCAAATTAAATAAATGTATAATTAAATATATTATAAAATACCAAATTAAATAAATGTATATAATTATTTAAGTACTATTCCTATGAGAATAGTGTTATTTCCTATAATAAGTGAGGGATTGTCTATCCCTTACTATATAAAGAAAAGGAAAAGAAAAAATAAGAGAGATTGTTATTTTCTTAACCCTAGCCGCCCAAAACAAATTGAGAGAATTTTTCTTCTGTCAATTTTTCATTCAACCTTTTTGCAATCAATTAGTCTAGCAAATCAATTAGTCTAGCAACATCTTTGATTGTGGATTGTTGTTCCTACCTTTGTGTTGACTTCATTGGTTCAATTCTTCTTTTGAATCAGATTGTGAAAAATTGATTTTTGATGAACAGTACTCGTGAACAATGAAAATGAACAGTTGGTAAATAGTGTTTGTGAACAGTGTCCATGAACAATGACGGTGAACAGTGCCATAAACAATGATGATGAACAGTGTCGAAATTTAAACGTGAAGAAGCCTCCAAATATTGGTATGTTATCTAATCCTCAAATGGATTATGTTTTAATGCATGTAAACATAACAATCTATACTTGGATTTGTTGGGTTTAAAGGTTTAATTGAAAAAGATTTTTGTTTCTACTACATTCTCTAATGATTAAATCCTAACAGGATGAAGGAATGACTATTCCTTTATAAGAAACAATCATTCGTGTCTAGTTAGAGTTATTTAGTGTCTTGGGCGTGGGTGGAGCTAATGTGACAGTTGTCAACTCAACAACCATGTTGGGGTCGTAAGAGAAGATTGTGAGATTGGGTTGGGAACGTAGTACTCACGAAAAAACAGATAAAATATAGGATTGACATGTTATTTCTTTTTTTGGCACCACCGTTTTAATTTAGTACAAAATCTTTGCAAAGAGTGGAGAGGTTTATATAGTGTTTCTATGGGTGTATTTGATTAAGAAAATGTTATATTAATAGAAAGATAGATTATCTTGAATATTATTGAGAATGTTTAGGGAAATGTGTTTGGTTGGTTGGAATACATTTGTGAGTTTGGTTAAGAGGATAAATGGGTGGGCATATAATATAGATACTAAATTGTCTTCCTTTTTAAATATTAATATAATATTATTTTTATTATTATTTTTTGAATAATTTTTTTTAACCCCTTACATTTAAAATTTTGCTAAAACACTTTAGTCATATAAAACTTTAATTTGTAACAAAATCACCTCCACCCATCCCAAGCCACTACCGAAAATTAGTCACCACCACCGACAATCGTCGTAATGATGTTAGACTAGCAGGATTTGGCCGGTCGTGGGTTGGTAAGGCTGTTTTTATAGTCGTTTCAC